ATGTTCTAGTAATCAAAAAACGTTGGCCAAAAGGTTTATTCAAAACTTCTTCCCTGACGGAGTTGGGTTCAACGGACAGTTCCGTTTAGTTATTAACTGACTCACTAAAAAGGATCTGTTTCCAATCTGAAACCAATGCTTCTTGTTGCAACGTTACAACGGACCAGGCAAGAACAGAGAAATTCGATCCGGGTGAACAGAAGCCGCATCCAAAATCAGGATCAATACCAGACAAAATCCTCGCTTACATTGTGCATTATTTAGGTTTTAGCTATTGATCCAAAATCAATGAAAATGAATAGTTTTTCGATAACAAAACAAAGCAAATTGTAACACAAATTTAAGATATTTCAGTGATGAAGCTATCTCTAGCACGGAAAGTAAATCCTACTGTCAGCTCAGTCACTGCTAGTTCAAGAGCACGCTGGAAATAAACACAGCTCCAGAATAGTAGTCTAAAAGGTCAGATACATTAGCGAATTTAATCTTTCGCTACTCTGCATCAACCAGTTTTACTTTTCCAAACCTTCGCACGGTAGTTTATTTGGGCTTTTGAGAACCCGCCGCTGACACTTAACATGGGAGAGATTGACATTTTTCGGGTTCGTTTGTAATCACTATGCTCCCCTTATCACTCTCTACTTTTTCCTTCAAATTAACCGACTTCAATGGAGCTCGATTCACAGACTACCGCAATAAAACGACTTGTTTTCAGAAAGAATTCTAAGGGCTGAGCTGGACGAAACAGATTGGTGCAAGTAAGGCAATGGGATAATATAATAGGTTAAATCAGAAAACCTAAAAAAGTGAATTCATCGGTCTAAACAGGCAGTCAAGATGTGAGTGCTACAATGAAGACCATATCTCAATACAGATAAACTAAGGGGTTTGTTATCTACACTTTGTGATAGTCGGATACCCCCAATGATAAACCATCCTTAACCATGGTGTGGTCAGTAAATATCCATTTGTGGTGCCAGTTGTGGCGTAAAACACAAAGCCAGGTATCAAAGACCATTACCCGTTGTCGATTAATTTCAGAATAAATTTATGAGAGTGAAATTTGTGAACCACACAAACGAAGATTCAGCTTCCATCGTCGTTTTGTACAGTCGGATGGAATAAGTTCGGAATAGTTCCTCAGATTATATGGCAATTTTTTCTCAGATTTGATCCGCTGTTCGATTTTTGAATTTGTATAGGAGTAGTCCATGTTGGAGACACCCAGTCCTGTTCAACCGAAATTGAACCATTTTTTAATTTTCATTGGTGCTGCTGATTAGTTGCTCTCTCTTTCCTGCAAAGTTATACAGCTTACTGGTTCTCTACCTTCGTTGTATGACGATAAATTGACCATAAAATTTCACGTTTTTCTTACTTTTTACATAGTTTTGGATTTGGTGGCTCACCAGTGAGGCCATCGAAGATACATTTATCTGTTTGTGTCTGTTCATCATCTGGGCGTTACATTTCTGTAAATGTTCATCACTATTTAATACAGAACTAATGAATTTTGCACTTATATAACTATTTGAATCAACAGCCCTTCTGTTTGATTGGACAACGTTCATCATTATCAGTCGTTCACTAAGTAAGACTGTCCTGATTAACTGTGCACAATCACGTGACGCTGAAAAGATGGCACCTTCGAATGGCTTTAAGTTCAATGAATTTAGCCAATCTCCAATCAACGGACAAACGAGTTGACAGGAAGTTAGTCACAACCGTGTACACATTCCCATTTGAAAGTGCTCGGTCGAATTTTCTTTCTTGATTTTCTGCTGAACATGACTCTACCCAAGATGTTTCAAATGGAAGAAGAAACGAATGTAGAATATTTCGAATCGTTTTGGGTCGAACTATGAAACATGAACGGAAACAATGAGCGCTTCTTCTTTTTACGAATTCATACATCGATCCGGCGGCATATCGAACTCACGAGTCCCGAGGGTGGTAATTTTAGAGCAGACATTATTCGGCAGACTTCGACTGTTGTTTGACAAGATGTCCATCGTCTGCATATATTCAAGCCAAAGTCATCATTCCAGACTCCTGAAGAGTAACGAGCAGTTGTACGTATCTCAATAATGGCATAACAGCTTATTGGTAACCACTCGGGGTTGACTACTCACAGTGCTGGGGACGATTAGTGCGCAAAAGACTTTTACATTCTCAAAAATTATGCAATCTGCATTGTGATAGCACTAAACTGTTTGCAAAGAGGGACGCGGATCAATAATTGTGTTTATAACTTGGAGCACCGTCCAATACCACAGAGAAAAAGAGAAGCTGAATATAACCTACTAAAACTTCATGATAACTATTTATCCAAACATGCTACTGTCTCAATTAATTTGGCATTTTGAAATCTTTCTTTACCCGGTGATCGCTTCAACGTTAAAGCATTTAAAAATTCATCACCTCTTTAGATCGTATTGATACAGATTATCAGCTATAACAAACATCCGAGTATTAAAACCATTTTATGTGGTTTGTTCCGCATGATAACAAGCATACAGCAATAAAAAACGGTTTGTTCTGATCAAACGCTTTGGCCGTGTTCACAATAAAGTAAAACAAGAAATAGCTAACTGGAACCTATGAATCAAAAATGTAAAGCCGAAGAGCCACTGCTAGTCGAAGTGAAAAATCTATGACAAATTTAATTCGTTACATTCAGAACCAAGATGTGAAAGAACTCTTTGAGGGGTAAATATTAGACACACTTTTGATAAAAAGTGAAAGATAATTTAAATTTTTTTCATATAATTAAGTAAATTAACCAACCAAAGAGTATTGAACAGCTCTGTCTGTCTGTCTCTGTTAGTTGTTCCGAATCTCCCTACCAAGACCGGAAAGAAACAATTGCCCAGTTTTCTTTGTCGGGGACCACACAAAATCTAGACAAAATAAACTTTTTGCAGGATGTCAAAAATTGACGAATTCCCATTGAGTGAAACTTATCAGAGAACAACGCTGCACAGATCCCTTTACAGTGGATTCCTATAGAAGTCATACCAAGTTGCACAAACTTGATAACTGCATTCTTTCAACTCAATGGTTAAATTGTGTCTGCCTTAATCATGTGATATAAAAGTATTCTAGCTCACAATGTTGTTGAGAATGTTTTGCATACGGGTGTATACAGTTGCATGGAATTTGGAGTGAATGTACACTCTTCTAACAAAGTTTTATTCACATTCGCAGGACACTGACATTTCGTACTGAACCCGGTTGAAATGTCGAGACGTTTGCGCCACGGAATCAACAAGATACTGCATGCTCCCGCAGTTCAATGGACAGTTAGGATTTACTCTTGGGCATCTCACAAACTATTAATTACCCGTACAAGAGTTGATTCTCTTCGACTAGTTAGCACCAAAACTTCAGAAACAAATCAGTAAACGGGTTAGGGATGAGTATTTATATCGACGGAACCATGTGCATAAAATATCTAATACGATGCAGAATTGGATGGCGTCTGTTAATCAGAGGAACGAAAAAAATGACGTCATTCAGAATCATTGAATTTAAATAAATCTCAAGAATTCGATGCGACTGGTCAAAGATAACAATGTTTGGGGTGTGGGTGTTGCTTTTATTTTTTGGAAGATAAAGTTGATCCCAGATTCTTCACCACACTTCTCCATCACCCGCAGTTTCAGTGCGTCCCTTTGGGAATCAAGGCATTTTTGAAAATAAATAAGACGTATAAAATGCAGCATGATATTTTGCTTTGCGCGGTGAGGTCAAACTGTATGGTATCCTGCCACACTCATCTGGAGGTTCTGGGTTTTATTCTGTACACAACTATTCATTATCCTTACTTGCTCGTGTTACTAAACAGCCCTTATTTGGTCGTCTAATACTTTGTGGTAATGCACAATAGAATCAGTTTGGAAGTATAAGTACCCGGAATGTTAGCAGTATTGTTATAATGTTATTATTTGTATTACTGTGAGTAAAGAAAAACAATTAGAACATCTTCTAAGTAGTTATGCTACGATAAACGATTTGAGAGGTTTTTTGTGAGGTCGGGTTCTAATTCCCACTGTTTGCATTTCGGTAACGTTATCTTTCGTGGTTGAAGAACATCTCATTTGAGCCGCTTTCTGATTTTCAGCAATTTATACTTCTGTGAAATTATTCTGAACTTTCATTCACTGTCTACTCCTTCTTTGTTTATCGCTTAAGATGTGTTACAGTTAACATGTTGAATATATTTTCTCAACGAAATAGTACAAAGCATTTAACTGAAAGGCAAACAGATGCCTAAGTTATCTGAATTATTTCAGTTTTCACTGTTTTTATCATTTCACTGAGGTTACTTGGATGAAGCTGTAAGTGTGCATAAGATGATTGTGTCACACTTTATGTTTCCTTTCTCATCCCCGGAAGTCGGTATACAAAAGCAGGGGTTTTTTGGACTGATGTGACATGCTGTCACTCTGTTTTATCGTACAGCTTCGGTTCGGTGAATTCTTTCGATTACTGTTGATTTTATAAGCACTATTACATAACTTGGATTGCGAAAGACATCAAACTACTGTTGTGCATGCACATCGAATCGAATGGTTGTTACTTTCTTGTGAACTGAACGGCAAGCCGTGTGTTTTGCAGCGATACCAAAATTGTTTTTCAGAAACATTTCAGTTTTTCGGACACCTAATTGGTAATGATTCATTGTGATAAGACATGGGCAGCGCCTCAAAAAAGGACTCATTTATAGAAATTATTCACTTTTCTGCTTATATTTTAGCTTTGATACGTCACAATCAATATGTGCTTCCATAGTGGTTTTTTGAAAAAGTGTTTAAAATGTTTTCGTCCGTGAAAAAAGTGGACGTGTATTGTCAGTAGTTGCAATTATTTCAAAATGCATCGAAGTTATTCTTCATCCCATATTACGTTCTACAAACCAAAACCAACAGTCTATGTCACCTGGCCAACGCCAACTATTCATACACCATTTCTCATCAAACTAAAACAGAAACACTCACGGGCTGGCAGTTGATCCGGGAAGCTGGTGGCCGATAGTCGCGTTACTTTGGATGGTACAACATTCTCCGACTTGGCTGAATTCTCTGACTGTAACAGGATAGTAGAAATGTGGTAAGAATGCGAGTGGATCATTGAAGCCAGTTTTGTTAATTTTAAGGTTCCATCACGTAGTCATTTGTTTTGTTACACATGCGTGACGCTTCCAATGGTCTTACGATAGAAAGGGGTCCCCAGGTTTCGACAATAAGTATTGCGGATTCCATTTCGCCTGTTCGCCGAGCTTAGCAATTTGTTTGCAAACGTTTTATCACCAGTCGAGGTGACATCATCAGTGCTTGTGAAGTGAAGCCTATGGCCTCAATGAAGTCCAAATACCCTGCCGGTTAACAACTTTTATTATGCGTGAGTCTCGTGAATACGCGGTGCGGCAGGCGAGGACAACACAAGGGACCGCAGTGAATAAGATGCGACAAATTTGTACCAGTCAGTTTTATTTTTCAGAACTATTAAACATGCAGCTTCATGCACCG